ACAATCTTGACGATTACCTGCCCGACGCTGTACATTATGATTTCCTGGACGTGCAGATACGCAGATACGAGTACGGGAAGCCCCTCGTCAAAGATGAAAAATCTCTAACAACGATGATGCGAAGATTGCATGATTGGTACTTGAAAATCTGCAGAGAGTATGGGAGGAGGAGTACTTTGTATGCGAGAGTTAAACCGGAGCATGACCTCGTTGGAATTGAATTGTTGCCTATTCCATTTGAGGAGTTCTATCAGTTTTTCAATCAATTGGCCCTCGATAAAGCGACGGTCACCTGCTACTGTCTGTAAGTACTACTATTTCTGTCATTCAGTCTCTCTATATAGCTCAGCTCTTTCATTGCATGTATTTATAATTATCCTCACTATATTATGCAGATTGAAGATCGCCGAATTGAAGAAAAGACAAATCGATGATATTGGGTTCATTAACACAAATCTCATAGATGCAGTTCAGGTTAAAGATCATGCCGCAGAAACCGAGGCCAACTTGCTACGATCATTCAAAATAAATGAACACAAAGATATAATACTCTTTCCTTACAACTTCAAGTGAGTGATGTCTTGTGCATATTCGGTTTCCCTTATATATTAGTCTAGGTTATAGTAATGTAATTGATGAGTTATGCATGTGTGCGCAGTTTCCACTATATTCTCCTGGAGATTAGGCTTGAGCAGGGAGTAGTAACTGTCTTGGACTCGAGACGAAAAGATCCCCAGGTGTATGCGGACATGACTGAAATCCTCAAGAAGTAAGTTAAATCGATCATTATCCACCATATCAACAAATTTGTTCAATTCCTGATATCAAGTAATTGTTTTCTTTTGTCTGGTAGGGTTTGGAGAAAATTCAGCACAAAATCCCCGGGACTCCCGAAGGAGCTGCAATTTAGATACCCGAAAGTAAGTACATATAGTACCATGTTCCGCGCGTCTCCTAGCTATTGATTCAAGCGCTAGTTTCATCAATACCATTTGGCATTCTTGCTTATCTGTTTGATTGACCTCTATTTCTTGTAAAGTGGTTGTGGCAGGAACAAGGGAATGATTTCTGTGGATACTACATCTGCGAGTCCATCTGCCACACGACCTGTGAGCGGGGCTACTCTGACAAACAATATGAAGTGCGTAAGAAATAATATTCACAATTTTTGTTTATTACCATCATTTGTGTTGAGTTCCATTCGTTCATATATATATATGTATTGACCCCCTTCTTCAAATTAGATGTTTCGGCAGCGGGATGAACTCCTAAAACCAGATCGCATGTGAGCAATTCAAGAGGAATTGGCGGCATTCTTTCTTGACCACGTGATCGCTGAAGACGGAGAATACTATGTGGACCATGCGTCCATAATGTAGGAGATTATATTTGTAAGAGATAATTATTGTATATATGTAGCCGGTAGTGTCGGACGATAGATATACAAGAACTTGTTGTTCGACCAATCTCTCGGAGAAGGAGAGGTGGTCGATATCACTTCTCTCTGTATGCATATATGTTCATGACGATCTTCTGTTTCCTTCGTTTGCTTACTAGCTAGTTAGCGTGACTAGTCCTCTCTATACGTATGTATATAGTACGTAGCGTCGACCAAGCACGGACATAAGAGAGGACACTTCTCTCTATTAATTAGCTATCTAACACAATATATGAAATACCTAAATTAACCGCCCAAAACCCCCAAACCCCTTTCAAAAAAACCAAAAACCCCAGCCACAGAAATGCTGACGCGTGGAGGCCTATTGGCCCCGGTTGGTGCCACCAACCGGGACCAAAGGCCCTCCTGCCTGGGCTCGGCGCACAGGCCACGTGGAGGCCCATCTGTCCCGGTTGGGGAACCGGGACTAAAGGCCCTTATGAATCGGGACAAAAGGGTGAGGGTATTAGTAACGACCCTTTAGTCCCGGTTGGGGAACCGGGACTAAAGGCCCTTATGAACCGGGACAAAAGGCCGGTTTTCTACTAGTGTGATTTCACATTACGTAGATTGATGGCATCATATTTCTATCTCGATATTTTGAAAAATAATTAGCAATCACACAACATTCTGATTTTACGGTGAATGATCGTTTGGATGCAACCCACGTTGTAGGCAAGAAATCTTGCACATGAAGTTCAAGTCAAAGAAAATGTTATGCTTTCACTCACAAAATCATTTGATTTTATGTCATGTGTCGTATGAAAAGTTTAGCCTTGTAAGACCATTGTTGTACACATACACTGGAATCAGGAGTAGTTCATAAGAAACTATTTTCCCAGAGTGAGTTTTTCTTCAGAGAGGTATAAGTATCCAGCTATATTCTAACAAATGAACTGCAGGTCATTTGAACTTCCACTAAATCAGAATCTTAAATTCCGAATATTTGTTGTTGTCGTGGGTTCGTGGCCGAGAGAACATTTTTGCAGTTCAAACAATCCCATCGAAAAGTTGGCACATTGTTTACTTCAATTTCCCAAGAACACTATCAAGCTAATCCGCATAGAGCAGTGTTATACAGACGACATTCCTCGGACGGATTTTGCACGATGTAGTAGATCGAACCGTCGGTGAGGTGGACTGAAAGCCCAGCGACCAGTGGATGTTGCATCATGCGAATTTTCTACAAGGAATCATCGTGTGTGTTGTAGTTTCGATCAGCATAACTAGCTTATGTTGTACTGATTCAAGCAATGAACTCGTGTATGTAATACTGCTTCTGGCTTTTGAAAAATGAAAAGCTATCAATGTTGACTGGAAAGAAAATATGTCGAAGGACTGGAAGCGTTTCTTATATATATTATAGTTAAGACTTGCAGATAGAGCAGTCCTTTAAAAATACTTTCAAAAAGTTATTTCTTGGGCACATATTGCTAAACACTTTTTTGTGGATAGTCCATAAACCAAAGGGAAATGCCCTTTGGTTCATGAGTGTATATACACTCTATATGGGAATATTGATTTTTGCAAAAGGAGTCAAAAATTATAGAACTTTTTTGAATAAACTTGACCTCTTTTGCACTAGTATATAAATTTTCGCGAAGGAAAAACTACCGTTGACTTCTGGGAAAAGAATATTGCTATATACAAGTTACTTTCCACAACTATTTGACCTTACATTTTTAACTTTTTGCTCTGAAGTCAACATGCGTTTCTTCTTGGTAGATTTTTTTTACAAGTATAATAGAAGGTCAACTTTAATTTTTTAATCAGATTTTTTGATATTTGTAATTACTCTTTGTTTTTCATATAAGGTGTATATACACCCAGGAACCAAACGTCCATATCTGTAAACCAAATGGATACACAATAGTTTTTTTTAGGGAACACAATAATTTTTTCTGAAATGGGTAAATACTACAAGTAATGGCCCAGCCCAGCCCACCTCTCCTCTGCTGGTGTCCCGTCGTGCGCTCTGGCAGGTAGGACGGTCGCGGCGCGCACAGCGGCGAGATGTGGCGGAGGCTTTCTCTTACAGCTCGTCCACTCATGTGCGGAGGCTTTCAGAAATCCCGAGCTGCAGGTACATCGCGTGAGCAATCCATGTTATCATCCGCCGAATCTCATGTGCCCAACCATTTCATTCGTCGCTTCAGATTAACCAGCAGTGTCGATGTCGTTTAAGTGATTTCAGCATTTATTTTTAGTTATGCAGGCAAACAGAGTGTTGATTTGAGGCTGTGGTTACAGGTTTTGGTTACCTGAAACAGTACACCGAGTCGTTCTTGGTTCATGGTCTTTACGGATGTGCAGTATCAGACGGCGGCATCAGAATTCAGGCGTGTTCCTCTGGAGCCCCAGCCATGATGATGGTCTTGAAAACCTGAGATCAACACTAGGCAAGTTGGCATCGGCAATCTGCTGCGAACCAGAATTGGATGTGTTTGGCGTCAGTTAGCAGCAAATGTTCAGAACTCCCCACACATGCACAGTCAAAAGGCTTAACACTAGGCAGTAACATGAAGTAAGTACTAGCAGAGATGAAGCAACCATATTAACTTCTTCCAGGATATTATCAGCGGGTCAGTGATGCAACAGAGTTGTGGGATCCATGAGACGGAGGATAACCATTGTTCAACCATATTTGAACAAGCAAGAGACCTTAATTATAGTCAGGCTTGTTTCGGCAGCACAGACTTTGTTATGTTTATTATCTACCTGATGAAAGTGAAAAAGAAGGCTTGTTTCAACAGCACAGACTTTGTTATTATCTACACAGAAATCGCAATGCTGTACACATAGTGTTGGAGTCACTCCTGCCTTGTGTATGAAATACTAGTACATATTGTTTTTAGAAAAATGAAATACTAGTTGCAGAGGGCCTCCGCAAAGAGAGGAGAAGTAATGACATCCTGCCCAGCGTGCGCTATTCCTGGCGACAAGGACGGCGGTTGCCTCAGGGCGCGGCGCGCGCGGCGCCAACCTTCCTCTCCCCCCTCTGCGCCCTGCATGCCGAGGAGGACGGCAGCAAGATGGGGGAAGATGGAAAAAAATTATATGAGACCAGGTCTCATATAAATCAGGTGAGACCCGCCCTGATGGATGACATGTGACATTCACAAATCACAAAGCATCTAATCTCTTCCCCCCTGATTTCAGGTGGGGGGTGGGGGGATGCTTTGTGATTTGTGAATGCCACATGTCATCCATCAGGATGGGTCTCACCTGCTAATCCGTGAGACCTGGTCTCATACAATTTTTTTCCGGGGAAGATCTACCATTGCCCGCTTCAGAGATTCCCACCTGCAGGTAAGTCGATTCATCGCATGTTACCACCTGATTTAATGCGGGAAATTTTATTTAGACAGCAGCAAGATTGATTATTTACCAGGGCGCTCAGCCATATACCGATGTACTTCGCAGCTTCTCTGGATTTCATGACGCCTCCTCAAAAATCAATGTATTTACATGGGATAGAGGAGAGCAAGTGAAAATACTCCCCACCTTCTCTGCATCGTCTTTCCAACTCTGGACAGTTCCTCACATAGAGACACCTCAGCTTGGCAAGATTTCCAAGGTTTGGAGGCAGTGTCATGACGCTTCGGCAGCCTTCAATCCACAAGTTCTCCAGGGACAGCGGAAGGGTTTCCTCCTCACAGGATGAAGTGTTGCCCTCCAGGTTGACACAATTTCCGATGTACAGAATGCGGAGGCGATCCAAGCACCGTAGCTCCTCTGTTGGTCAGCGGACAATATTGCTGCAACTGACAATCGTCAGCTGTTCGACCAACGAAAAGCACTTCCAAACCATAAGCTGTGATCTGGACGATTCGGAGCTTCTGACCAAGCTGTTGGGGCCTTCCAGATCCAAATACTTCAGTTTTTCAAGAGGTATTTGACTTTGGTTTTGCTAGGCGTCTAGAGGCAACAAGGGTACGTCTTCTGGAGACCCAAGAGTTTTTTTTTTTTGAAACAAAGCAAAAGGCTTGCCATTTTCATTGATTAAGAAGAAGTAAGGATTGCCCGGTTAATTGACGGAAAACCGGGCTAAAACTGATACATCCAACCCACAATCACATGGGCACCACCGTCCAACCTGGCCACCGACATGCAACAAGACACGACGGCACATGCCAATAGATGACCACACGCACAAACAACTGACAGCTCCAACTTTGACGACAAGCATCACCTGGGAAATATGCAAGACTTGCGCCAACCGTGCCCGCTGCAAACGACCACCGAGCGCCTGTCATCGTTGCCGCCTGGACTCGCTCCACCGCAGCTCCGATTTCAAAGCAACCAAGCAACCCACGGAAGAGCACCTCGGACACGCCAGGAAGATCCGACTACCGAAGCCCGAGCCGCGACCCATGCTCCTCTCGGCGCCATTGTCGTTACCAAACAGAAATCAGCGCCCCCGAAACGGCCGCCTCAGCAAACCACGCGGCGAAGATGCCGCATCCACCGCGGCGAAGATGACGCCATCCACTGGTCTCCAGTTGTAGCCGGCTCCAAGGCGTTGCCCCCAAGGAGGTAGAAGACGCGAAGACGCCTTCATCGCCCAATCTTGCAGATCTAAGGTTTCCCTCCGGAGCTATAGCCACGGAGAGGAGGGGAGGAGCAGCACACATCAGCGACGCTTTCAAGAAAGAGCACGACGCCCGCGGGCGTCGCCGTCGTCGTATCCAGCAAAGTCGGAGATAGGATTTCTCCCAGTGAAGCTCGACCACCAACTGCCCGAACCGGCCGGCCACGAACCGCTGCCCACCAAACCTCCCAGAGCACCTCCCTCCAGTGCCCGCCCCTGCTGAGGCCGTCCTGCGCGACCACCAGGCCAGCAGCCGCAGCGCTGCCGGAACCTGGGTCCGCCTGCCGTCTGACTCCGATCTGGCCACGAGATCCCTCAATCCGCCACGTCCAGACACTCACCGCCCCCTGGCCGAAGCCGCCACCACCAAATCCGGGGCCGCCGGCAACCGCAGACCTCCACCACGCGGCTGATGCACAGCACCAAGAGCCGAGCCGGAGCACTTGCACTTCATCTCCAACCCTCCAGAACCGGGCCGAATCCATGCAAAACACCGCCCCGCACCGCATCCAAGCTGAAGACCAGGGCCCCTAGCCAGGGCTGCCTCCCGACGGGGCCAGAACCGGCCGAAGCTGGGCCAGATCCGGCGAGTCGCCACATCCGACGACGAGCACCTGCAGGAGCTCGCATCTGAGGAAAAGGGGGCCGCCACCCCGCCAAGAACTGCCGGAGGAGAGCCACCACACGGCGCGAAGAAGACTCGCCGGCGCCGGCGACGCCACGCCGTGCAGAGGCCGCGGAAGGACCAAGCCTCCCCTACCGCGAGAGCACACCACAGGGCGAGGAAGCGCCCCGCCGCCGCCGTCGGCCAGCCGGGCTTAGCCCGCTGGCGTCCTCCGGCAACGGCGATGGAGGAGGAAGTAGGGGAGGGGGGCGGCGGTGGCTGCGGCTAGGGTTCCGCCCGAGCCGCCGCCAAGAGCCAAGTTAGCTGTTTGGTCTTAGTTGGGGACCCAAGAGTTAAGCTGACGAGAAATGGCCAGGAGCCCAAACGGATGCCCATAAACACTAAACCGACTACAGTATTGTGAACCCCAACTATTTTCAACACGTTGACGACAGGGATCACTGGAATACTTGCAAGCTTGGGGCAATTTTCTATCCTTAGCAATTCAAGCATCGGGAACTTTACCAGGCTATCACAAAGCTCTCCCACACTATTTTCTGCCCATATCTCCAGGCTCTCCCACACTGTGTTCCATGAAGCGCTCCATGAGGTGCACTCCAAATACCTCAAGGCAGTCTTCCTAAAACTGGATTTCCACAAGGCCTACGAGACGGTCAGTTGGACCTTCCTTCGGAAATGTCTTCTCCGTAAGGGCTTCGACGACCGGTGGGTGACTAGGGTGATGCAGATGGTGTCCTCGGGGCGCACTGTAGTTAACATTAATGGGGAGATCGGCCCTTTTTTCCCCACATTTTGTGGGGTTCGTCAGGGTGACCCCTTCTCTCCGTTCCTATTTAACATGGTGGTAGATGCCCTGGCGGCCATCCTTGAAAGGGCCAAGGCGGCCGGCCACATTAAGGGAGTAGTTTTGCATCTGGTTGGGTGGAACGGTGTATCCCTCCTCCAATATGCGGATGACACCATTATCATGGTGGAGGGCTCGGAGAGTGATATCGCCAACCTCAAGTTCCTCCTGCTGTGCTTCCAGCAAATGGCCGTCCTGAAGATCAACTTCGACAAGAGTGAGGTGATGGTCTTGGGCTACACCCAGGAAGAGCGCCAGAGCATTGCGGATCGGCTTAACTACCACCTCGGGTGCTTCCCCACGACTTACCTGGGGATCCCCATTAGCGACTCCAGGCTTACGGTGGCCGAGCTGCGCCCCACGGTGGGGAAGCTTCAGCACCGGATCGAACCCTGGCAGGGTAGATGGCTCTGGAAAGCAGCCTGAACGGTGCTCATTAACTCCTCCCTCTCCAGCCTACTGTTATTCATCATGAGCTTCTGCAGCCTTCCCGAGACCCTCCATCACGAGATTGCCACCGTCCAGGGGTGTTTCTACTGGGCCGGCGAGGGTGATAAGCAGAAGTACCACATGGTCAAGTGGTCGGAGATCTGCAAACCCTGCGACCAGGGCGGTTTGGGTATCATGTCCTCCAAACGCATGAACATTGCCTTACTGACTAAGTGGCTATGGCGGATCGCTAATGGAGAAGGTGGACTGTGGCTCCGCATTATTCAGCAGAAATACCTCCGCGGTCAGCCCCTCGCCTTCTGCCAGCGTTCTGGGGGATCACAGTTCTGGCAGTCCATCATCCAGCTCCTCCCTGTCCTTCGGATCGGAACCTTGATCGAGATTGGCTCCAGCACTGCCACCTTGTTCTGGTTTGACAGATGGGCGGGCGACTCGCCCCTTGCGGCCCGCTTCCCGAACCTCTTCTCCATCGCGGTCGCGCCACAGATCTCCGTGGCAGCCGCCCTTACTGACTAGGGCAACTAGCGTTCCGGAGACCTTTCGGTCCGGCTGAGATCGAGGACTGGAAGGAGCTGCTCGACTGCTCTTCACGAACCTGAACTCTCGACAGACGACGACCGTGCCAGATGGCGGTTAGAGCCATCTGGGCAATTCTCCACCAAATCTCTCTACCTCGCCATCGCCCCTTCGCTTGGTCACGAGGCGCTTTCCTCCATTTGGGAGATTCGCCTCCCCCTGAAGATTAGGATCTTCTTGTGGCAATGGATTCGTGGCCGCCTCCCTTCTGGTGTTGAGGTTCTGAAGCGCAATGGCCCTGCAGACGGGTGATGCCCGCTCTGTGGACCTGAAGAAGATTCGAACCATATCTTCTTCACCTGCATGTCCGCGTAGTTTCTCTGGAGCTGTTTCCGCGAGATTGTGGGTGGAAACTGGGACCATAACAATTTCCCCGCTCTCTTTGCCGAACTCCAGGCGATCCCTCCCGCGTTGCGCCACACTAGGTGGCTGACCATTGGGGTCCTGGCCTGGACGCTGTGGACTGTTAGGAATAAACTTGTGATTCAGCATATTCCTCTTCGTCGTGCGACTGATGCTTTGTTCAAATGGTCTGGTTACTTGCAGCTTTGCCAGCCGCTTAGCCGGCCCAGGGAGAGAAACGTCATCACCTCCATCATCACCCAGCTCCGTGCGATGGCCCTCCGATTGACGCCGCCGCTTCCCCCACCTCCTCTGGAACCAGATTAGATCATCATGTCGTCGACTCCGCCGCCACCGTCTGGGATTGTGTCTTCGTCCTTTTGTGTTGGGCGTGATGTGTTGTGCCCACAGCGGAACTTGGGTATTGTGTGTGTGTCTGTGCTTGTTGGTGTGGTTCCTGACTTGCGGTGGCGTTGCCTTTGTGTGTGCGCTGTGTTCTGTTGTTACCTTGATACTTTGTGCTTGGTGGGTGCTTTATTTATAAAGCGGGGCGAAAGCCTTTTTCGGTAAAGATGGATGAGCTTTCTCAATCTTGTCGTGTCTTCTGGTAACTGTTGCAACTTCTGGCAATATATGAGCCTTAGTGTTTGCAGGTTATACAACATACATATTGGATCTGGCAACCTAACGATGTCAGACCCAGAGAGGTCAAGATACCGTAAATGTTTTGCATTTATGGCCTTGCAAATGACAAGTGGAGCAGGGGAGCAATGCAATGCTCTTAGTGATGCCAATACATGTTGCAACTCCTTAATATCCTTGTGTGATCTTCTCGAAAATTTATAATTATGCTCCGCCCATGATTCTGAAGGAGCTAACATCGTGCGGAGGTATGTTCTGCCTTTGCATAAACCACTGATTTTTTCCAATTCAGCCTTTGACATTTGCATGTGATGAACACCTTTTAACAATACTTTAAGTCGTGCATTTTACATACACATTCATCAGTGACATCTTTTGCTAGATCGTGCATTAAGTCGTGCATTTTACATACAATTGTCTCATATTGTGTGTCACCATCATAGACAGCAGGTTTGACTACCACTTTCTTATCTTGGAGGAAGGACCTCCAAACCAACTCATCAAAAATGAATTCTCCTTTATGCACTAAATCCATTGTTCCCTCTTCTTGAATAAAGCCATTTGCCATCCATAGTTGCATCAACCTATCCTTCTCCATCTCATAATCCTTGCGAAAAACCGCACAGAATGCAAAACATTGCTTCATTTCAGAGGACATGTGTTTGTAGCTTAACTTCAGTATGGGCATTACCTCATATTTGCCTCCATCATTATCCCTAATGTTACTTTCTTGGATGGCCTTCCATTCCTGTACTTTTTCCTTTGAACTCAGCAATCCGCCCATCATCTTAAGAGCAAGAGGCAACCCCTCACATTTATTGACAATACGCCTTAAGATGGCGACCAACTCTGGTTGGTCATCAACACCATTGCTAAATGCTTTGTTCAAAAACAATTCCCATGAGTCTTCTTCACTCAGAAATACTAGCTCGTGGGGCTTGACAGTGCACATTATAGAGGCCACTTGTTTGCTTCGACATGTGACCACTATAACACTTCCTGGTCCACCAACAGAACACAATAGTGGCTTCAGTTCATCCTCCCACATTCTCTTTATCTTCATTCCATACATCATCGAGAACAAGTAAAAAAACCTTTTCTGGCCAATGACTTCATCAAGTTACTTCTGCAATAGTTCAATGTTGCCAGTCATGGGAGAGCTTCCATTTGTGGCCAATTCAATTAGGGATTTCACAAAAGCAATAACATCAAAATTTTCAGACACGCAGTGCCACATCTTCAACTGGAAATGTTCGTGGACCTCTTGTTCATTGTGCACCATCTTAGCAAGAGTCGTCTTGCCAAGACCACCCATCCCAAAGATGGACAGCACCTGCACCTTCTGCTGGTCTTGTTGGTCTAGCAGTTGCTTCACCACCATCATCTTATCATCATCTCTTCCAAAGATTTTGGTACAGTCATCCAGTTTTGAGTGTGTTTGCTGGCAAGGATGTTGCCGCTTCTCCCTACTGGCAGAATTTTCCAGGCCAAACTTGTTCATCTCCTCAACCAACTTATTGATCTTCTTTTTCCTCAAAAAAATTTATTGATCTTCTTGAGGACGTTCTTGAGTTTCCTGCTCATTTCAAAGCGGAAGAGCAGCGGGCTGTGGCACGTGATGTAGCTGAGTGCCTTTCGGGTAGTGGACTTGCCAACCTTAGACTCGCGGCGCAGCGCCTCATACTGGAAGTCGTCGAGCACGTCATCAGCCTGGTAGGCGATGGACTTGAGCTCCTTCATCCAGCTCTTGACATAGCGATTTGTCTCGCTCATCTCCTCGGCGTTTGCCAGCTTGCACTCGACGGCTAGTAGATGCCGCTCGAGCGTTTGGCGATCATCGTCGAGGCCACACATACGACTCACCGTCTCGATGAGTGCATCTGCAGCCTTGCCAGCCATGCTGCGCACTAGAGGGAGAAGCAGCGACTCTGCCATGAGCTTGCAGGTCGGAGCAAGAAGAAACTGCAGCGCAAGAAAGAAGAGAGGTTAAGCACTGATAGAACATGAACAACCTTGTAATCCTCCTATTTTATATTTTATAGTTCCATAATAGCTTGAGTGTGGTTCTTCCATACCCACTCTCGGTGCACCCACGGTGCACCTACGCAAGAAAACATATCAAAACATTTCAAAAAAATCTGAAACTTTGTGGATATGATCATCAACAAATGTTAGAGAGGCTTGCAAAATTTGGTGGTCAAATAACATTCGAGAAACTCTCTACAAAGAAGACAAAATTACAAAATGTGGTCAAACAGTGTACTTACATTTTGACTAATTCTCAATGAATTTGTCTTTTTTGTATAGACCTCCTCGAATGTTATTTGACCACCAAATTTTGCAAGCCTCTCTAACATTTGTTGATGATCATTTTCACGAAGTTTCAGATTTTTTTGAAATGTTTTGCTATGTTTTCTTGCGTGGGTGCACCGAAGGTGGGTGCAGCCACTACTTTCCCTAATAGCTTAGCTTGTATAGCTCCTGTATATACCTCTTGTACATACTTTTTGATACATATACATAAAAAATCTAGTGGCGTTTTGGCCTGCTGTACAGCTATAAAAACATAACATGAACAATCGAAGAACAACAAACAAGGCCAAGGATTGAGCAGAGAATTCACCTCAACAATGCCCAAATTTTATCTTCTCCAAATTGTTGAAAGAGCAGCGTACTGCTGCTCGTTCCTTCGCCACCCCTCTGTAGGTCTCTTCACACGCCAAGGCTGCTATGGAATTCTGTGGTTGCTGGAGAGAGGATGGAAGCAAATGGAGATAAGAACAGGGAATCCATGAGCTGTATATTGACTGACTGACTGATACATGTACCTACCGGTGGTCCCTCATTTATTTGCAGCCATACATCACTATTATTGTATATTTCTATAATTTCCTTAATTTTATATATTTTGCAACTTTCATATACAAACAATTGCCTATACCCATCACTTCATTTTTCAACTTGTCGATAGGACAATAAGGGAGACATCGATGTATCTGCTTTGAAGACTCAAGACTTGTTCTCACTCTGTCACTAACGGTTCTGCAGGAATAGGCAAGACATTGTTATCGATCTGTCACTTGTTCTATGGGCATACAAGATGGGAGGCGCGGCACTCAGATCTGGGAATTGATCCGTATCATATTTGGTTTGCTATATGAAACCATCTTTCCATTTTTTTTTTCTGTTGGCTACGGCTCCAGAACAAATTGACACCAGAAATCTCATAACCAGCAGGAAAAATTTCTGTGTGGAATGTATTGCCTATGTTATTGCAAGAAAACTCTGAAGAGGGGCTCCTGCGTCAATTATTTTCGTGGCGTATCGGCCCATATACAACTCAATTCTCTACCTCTAGAGCTTAGATCACCAAATAAATATCAGTGTTAACAATGGCTGCTGGAGCATATAAGTAAACTTGTATTATAAAGGGCACTGGATTAAGATAAATTATCTGCAGCGCAAAATTATCAGTTTCGAAACCAGATGTCACGTCCTCACTCTCAGTGTATTGCTAGAGAATGTGCTACTTACGGTCAGCTGATCGAATTTCTTCCTGTGCAGACATCATGCGATTGTTTGCTGAACCTTCTTCAGGGTTGCATAGGCATTCATCTGCAACTGCACAATGAGGTATGGTATAGGTCAAATTTGCGGTCATCGGGACAAACAAATATAGTACGATATAATGGTGAAATAAAAGTAGCAGCAGCTGCAAAATGATAAGGCTGGATTGTCTTAAAATGAACTTATCATCATCACCATGTCATGCTTATCATCACGAAAGATGGGAGACCCTGATGCTAGACAAGAGTATGTACGAGGAGACACAATATGCATGTTTTCTGATAAGATTCAAGCATGATTAGTTAAATAAACAGGGAAGTTCGGAAACATAATATAACATCAAGGCTGCCATGTGATTGTGTGGTTCCTGGAGTGAGAGGATGAAACCAAACGGAGTCATACCATCATGACAAGTCTAACGGTTCTGAACAATAACCAACTTTGGGCATGCATTATTTTTCCAACTTGTCAGAGAGTACAATAAGTGAGACATGCATGCGTCCGCCGTGAAGACTTGTATAACGGTTCTGCAGCAAATAGGCAAAACGTTGTTTTGGACCTGTCACTTGTTCCATGGCGTACTAGACGGGAGGCGCGGCACACGGACTTGGTAATCCTATTTTTAATTTTTTTTGCTATATGTCACTACAATTATACATTAAAAAACAAAAAATCATACTTGGTGAATTAGTTCAGCGAGCCCAGAGTTATGAGATAAACAGATTTTTGAATTTGAGAAACGTTCAACTGTACATGATGCATGGAAAGGATTTTTGCACCAGCTTTGTTTGTACCGACGGTATTAATTTCTGCTATTATGACCGTTGAATAATAAATAATTGAGAAGCTAGACATACCTCCGTGAGGAAAAATAGATGACACGACAATCATAACCGCATAGGTTGAAAACATATTGATGATGAGGATTTTAAAACATCATCTTTTGGTTAAACAATAGTCTGAAATTTCTGAACTACTTCGGAAAAAAAGAGTTTCTGGACTACTTCGGAGGTATGTCCATATAAACATATTTTTTCAATTGGAGAAAAGTTTGATTATACCTGATGCATGGAAATGATGTTTGCACCAGCTTTTTTCGTGCCAACAGTATTAGTTCTGCTGTTCTGATGGTTGAATGAAAAATAATTAAGAAGCTGGACATACCTCCGAGAGGAAAAACAGATGACACGACCATCATAATCGCAAGGTTGCAAACATATGGATGAGAACGATTTTAAAACATCATTTTTTTAGTGAAACAATAGTCTGAAGTTTCTGAACTACTTCGAGAAAAAAAAGAGTTTCTGAACCAATAAAAGGTACGCAATCACTACATCATCTATTGTCTTTGCTGAAGTGCAGGTCAATACTCGACACACGACTGAATCATGTAGCCAAGGCACATATCTAATCATAATCAGAGGTTTATTGCTTTATTTAAATGGGGTGCTGCAGCGCAAGGCTCATTAATCTGGAACCACTGATGCAATGCAGTACTGGCTCGCTGCGCTTAGCACAATCTGCACTGGATTAGATTCACCAACACCGTTTGAATTTTTTGGTACATGAAACTACAATAGTGAGATTGTAGTAACACGCAGATGCAGCCCAAACGGGAGAAGCGACGTGCTGAAGCTGAACGGCAGCACGGGCAGGTTGGAATTGAAGAAACTGAAGCTCCGTCAACCAGCACAGTACAAAGCTTCAGAGAAGCAGTCATCGGAAGAGAAAAATATGAAAATTGGGGCCCGCAGATCAGCCAGAGTACTCCAAGTATTCCGGCGGCAGGAGCTCAATTTGTAAACCTCATTCTTGATGAGGTTCAGACTTGGAGAGCGGCTGGACCTCGGTATTTTCGATTTTTTCTGAGAGAGTAGCCTGTAATTTTCTTGTGGGTCTGTGGATGTTTGCCAGTACCTTAGCTTGTTTTGCTTCCCGCACTGCTTGTAACATATTCTCTGCCTTCTATAAAATATGATACGCAATCTGCGTACTCTTAGAAAAGAGAAAAGAAACAACTTTTCTATGTAAAGAACAATATAATGTGGGGTTTATCGGTTTTGTAATTGAAACCAGGAAGCAAAGAGAGCTCCCTTAATTCAAAAGAAAAAATAATAAGGGTTGTTATATTTTGCGGGGAAAAGACCAGTGGAAATATTCCCTTAGCTTATAATGAGAAGGTATTTGCAATGACAGACTGATCATCGGAAAATATCAGCATGTACCACCGGTTGTCCACAACTGTTCCTCAACAGTGTAATGAGCTTCAGCATGAATTATTACAGCCACTATGTGGTTTTCTATTCTCAAAGTTAAGTATTTCCCAACTTCAAACCCTATGTTCGCCTCCTCTAGGGGAGGGTCTCAGTTTTGGAAAGACCTTGTCAAGGTTCGGCCTTTTTTTAGGACCACGTCAAGTTTGTGGTAGGTAATGGAGCTTCCATTCGCTTTTGGCTGGACTGGGGTGTGGAGACTCACCCCTCTCGGTGGTCTTCCCCACGTTGTTTTCTTACTGCCCCAATCCGAACATCTCCATCGCAGAGCTTTCGGCTAATAATAGGTACCTTGCCTTCCGGCGCTCGCTGTCCCCTGTAGAGTTGGAGGAATGGCAGCGGCTTGCTGCTCTCTTTTCCGTGCTCTCGAAGACTGTTGACTCGGTGGTTTGGCCCCACACTTCTTCTGGTCGCTTTTCTGTTAAGTCTCTCTATACTAAACTTATTGGTGGCTCCCCCACTAACAAATTTAGTCCGATTTGGCGTGCTTGGATTCCTCTTAAAGTGAAGATTTTCCTCTGGCAAGCTTTCAAAGGCCGTCTCCTTGCGGCTGACCAAATTCGCAAACGTAATGGCCCAGCTCGGAGCGCTGTGCATTATGCGATTCCTTGGAGGACACGAACCATATTTTCTTTGAGTGTGTGCTGGCTAAGCTGGTTTGGAGCTGTTTTAGGTCGTGGCTTCAGGTGTCTTGGGCTCCTTCCTCCTTCTCTGAGCTTCGGTTCCTCGCCAATGGCCTGGTTGGGGTCACTAAGCGGCTATTTTGGGTTGGTCTGGGGGCGATTTGTTGGGCCTTGAGGAATACCAGAAACAAGTTTACCATTGAGCATGTTTTTCCTGCTAAACCTGCTGACTGCTTATTTAAATCTTACATGTTCCTGCAGCAGTGGAGATATCATTGACTAAGACGGAAGACCGGGATGCATTTGATCTTCTATTCTCTAAAATTCGGGCATCGGCGTCTTCCTTATCAAGGCACGAGGCAGCTGTATAGTTGCCTTGATGATCTTTTTGACTTAGTTGGTGGCTTCGTCGTCTCTGTGGTGACTGCTCTTCTCTCATTTCTGGCCTGCGTGTCGTGTGGGTTTATTTATA